TAAAGATCTTTAGAGAAATAAACGACGTTAGTGATTGTCTTCTATTGCAACAAGACCTGGATAGACTAGTGGCTTGGAGTGATGTGGGTTTAAAATTCCATTCAGATAAATGTTTTGTTGTCAGTTACACCAGACGCACTCACAACGCTGTTAACTTCCAATATTCCATGAATGGTAATTTACTGGGTAGTCGAAGTAGTGTCACATATCTTGGTGTTACAATTGATAGCAAGTTGTGTTTTTCGAATCATGTAATTGAGTCTTGTAGATCAGCGTATCGAATTCTTGGCTTCATATTCAGATCAGGAAGTTTTATAACCAACATTTACAGTCTCAAACTTTTATATTGCACCTTGGTACGACCTAAACTTGAGTTTGGAGCAACTGTGTGGTATCCTCATCAAACCTATCTTGTCGACATGATTGAGCAAATACAAATCAAAACTAAAATGATAAACTTCTTTGAAGTTTTTTTTGTTTGTTCGTATTTTTTGTACATATTTGTTATTACATATGGTCTTGGTTCCTTAGATATTTATTCTTCAAGAAGTTTGGATACTTCACATTTGATGTATCTTACCATACTCTTTTAAACTTGTTTGAAATGGTCAGTCTAAAGCAACGTCGTGATATGGGGATGCTTATCTTTCTACACAAACTACTCAATGATAAGGTTGATGACAGCGAGCTCTTATCTCGTTTAGCGTTCCTTGTTCGCCGACCCTCGTCCAGAGCCCGCGCGTTGTTCAGTCCGTCCTTCTCACGGACTTGCCTAGGGGCTCAATCACCTATCAACACGATGATGAGACTATATAATTTAATATCAAACAACGTTGATATTTTTAACTCGAGCCTAGCCTCTTATAAAAAATCTTTAATCTCACATAATGGTTAATGGAGCAGCAATTACCACAGGAAGACCCTAGAATAAACTCAACCCCACCAACAAGAGCGGAGATAATAACAGCCATTAAAGGAATGAAAAATGGGAAAGCTCCTGGAGTAGACAACATTTCCCCTGAAATGTTAAAAGCTGAGGTGGAGGTAACTGCAACCATATTCCAGGATTTGCTAGAGGAGGTATGGGAGAAAGAAGAGATACCGGAAGACTGGAAGAACGGCTTGCTTATAAAGATCCCGAAGAAGGGAGATACGTCACTTTGTAGTAACTGGAGGGGGATTACGCTGCTGTCGGTACCAAGTAAATTATTAATGAGAATAATCCTGAATAGAATCAAAGAGGTAGTTGACACTAAATTAAGGAGAGAACAAGCGGGTTTCAGAAGTGACTATTCATGTACAGATATGATTAACACCTTGCGGATTGTAATAGAACAAAGCTCGGAATACCAAACACCCTTGTATTTGACCTTTGTTGATTTTGAGAAAGCCTTTGACTCCATCAGCAGGGAATCGATGTGGAAGGCTCTAGAATTTTTCGGAGTCCCTAAGAAAATCATTAACCTCATAAAATTAATTTATGAAGATTACAAGTGTCGAATAGTGCACGAAGGTAAACTTTCACAGCCGTTCAGAATCAGAACTGGTGTTAGACAAGGATGTTTACTGTCACCCATCATCTTCCTAATGGTCTTGGATGGAGTGATGAGGAAAGCAACGAGGAGACCTAGAGGGTTGAGGTGGGGACTCACAGATAGGCTAGAGGATATTGATTTTGCCGATGACCTGTGTCTTATGGCCCATAGGAAAATAGATATGGAACAAAAATTGAAAGAACTCGAAAATGAAGGAAAGAAGGTTGGTCTGAAAATTAACTTAGGGAAAACAAAAGAAATGAGAATAAATGAAAGAGACAACCACCAACTAGAGCTAAATGGTAAGGTCATTGAAAGAGTCGAAGAATTTCTGTATCTAGGAAGCATCGTATCAAAGTTAGGCGGGACAGACGAAGATGTGGCACAGAGGATCAGGAAGGCCAAGGGAGCTTTTGTTCAGCTGGCTACAATTTGGCGATCTAACCAATTGAGAAGAAGCACCAAACTCAGGATATTTGGAACAAATGTAACATCTGTACTTCTCTATGGTTGCCAAACTTGGAAAGTTACTAAAACGGTGTCATCTAAACTCCACGTATTTATAAACCGGTGCCTTAGAAGAATTTTTAATGTCCGATGGCCAGATATGATTACCAACGAAGAGCTATGGAGGAGGGCACAAATACCACCCATTACGGAAACAATAAAAAGACGGAAATATGGGTGGATTGGACACACTCTAAGGAAAGAGCAAAGCAACATAAGCCGTCAAGCTCTTGAGTGGAACCCGCAAGGAAGCAGGAGGAGGGGCAGACCGAGGATGACTTGGAGGAGATCAGTTGAGAAGGAACTGCAGGAAGAAGGCAAGAGCTGGGGAGAGGCAAAGCAGATGGCCCAGAATCGTGTCCGGTGGAGAGCATTTGTTGCGGCCCTACGTCCCCCTCGGGATTAAAGGAAATAAGTCAAGTAAGTCAATGGTTAATGTTATTAATTTCTCTCACCCTCATCAGTTATCTTGTGTCTCATGTTTTGTTTCTTATCTTATTTATTTGCGTAGTTCTTAGTCACTCTTATTTATTGTTACTTATTGCTACTATTATTTATTGTTGCTGTTATTTAATAATTAATATTTATTATTCTTAGTCATGAACGATTCACTTTATTCAATTTTATGAACTCATAGCATGTTCTCAATTTTTGTACAAACTAGAATAGTGCTGCAATGTAAATGGGATTTGTATTCTGTTTTGTAGCATGCAAAAAAAATAAAAAAAAAAATAAAAAAAAATAAAAAAAACATTATGTTTGTATATTTTTAGTTTTAGACATATTGCGGTATGTTGCAATTTTTCACTAAATAAACAACCTAGATTCCAATTTTGTCTTATTTTACTATACCTTAAAATCTACTAAAATTTGTTATTACATATTTAAATACTTTCATTCATTGATACAGAGCAGCAATACTCTTGTTGATGTTCATAGCCTCTAGCGCGTGTGAAGACGGACGCAGAGGGGGTGTGATTGCGGCGTTGCCAGTTCGAACGTCGCGGCCTTGTATTAGAGGTGGCTGTGATTATACACATTTCCAGTAGGTCTGAATAGAAACTACCTAAAATAAAACGACAATATCCAATAAAATTCACGGTACACATAACTTTGGTGTCCTGACATCATTACACCAATCGTCCACACCTGTCCTTTATATCAATTTCACTGTGTCAAATTGCTAAATAAATTAGTGCAAACAAAGAAAAGTAAAAACAATAACAATACAAAAATAAATTGAAATTTAAAGTCGTGTAAACAGATCACATAGCCATACACAGAAAGTGACAGTACGGCCAGGTGGTGTCAGTGAAACGAGAGAGCAAGGTTAGTACAAAGTTGTATATAGGGGAGGAGCGCGCAGGGGTGTTGCCGATCGATAGCGCGGGAGTACGCAGAGGGAGAGGCCGGCGTGTGCGAGTGCGGGCGTCTATAAAGGCGTTCTAGTGTGCGTGCAGGGTTTTCCGACCGTTTTACATCACTTCAAAAGTATATACACCATGGCCTTATAATAAACGGATACATACAAATAATATGCTAAACAGTCAAAACATAAAAGCCCCTACATTTTAAGGTATTTTTCAAAATGATAAGTTAGGGATTTCCATGTGGGTTGAAAAAAATTGTTTGTAATTTATTTTTTTTAATTAGGTCAAAGTTTTTGTTGTCACTAGTACAGTATAAAATATATTTTTTTATATATTTCGTATTTCCCGTTTTTGAGATTTGTGTGTACCTTAATGGCTAAAAATCCGACATTTGACCTTGAATTTTTGCTAAACCAAAACTCAAAAAAAAAATTTATTGCTCATTCTAAAGGTCCAACTAAAAATATAACATTAATATAAAAAATAAATAAAATGTTCACATTAATAGACATAGGAACATTCAAATTGTAACTTAAATCTAAAATGTCCACAAAATATACCAGTGTTTTGTCACAATAGTTCAAACTATGATGCACATTTATTAAAGAATTAGCTAAAAAATATGGTAAAATTGACTTAATAGCAAACACTAATGAGAAATATATAAACTATTCATTTAATTCAGTCCTATACCGGTTAGACCCGGCTTTTGGCCTATTGATTTCCCTGACCTCATCGCAGACCCTGGAACTTTACCCAGCCATTGTAGGCTGAGCTATCCTCGGCAAACGTTTGCTAATGGCTTCATCAATTGATAAATTACCTAAGAATCTAAAATAATTTAAACATTTGAATGAATATATAAAGAATATTGATATAATTGAAAAAGATAATGAAACATTTTAAATATTATCTTCTAAAGGTATATTTCCATATGAATTTATAGATGATATTAAAAAATTAACCCTCTCTCTCTTACACGTTTTCAGACGCATTTACGCCATTTGTGAGCTGTCAAAGACGGAATTCCGACGCATTACTTCAATGCTCACCGTTTGCAAAATTTTAATAATTTTGGCATGATTTTTTCACTATCTTCAAGTAGAAATCATAAGCATTCTTATAGTACCACTTGAATGATGATGTTTCCGTGACTGCATAAGATTCTTGATTTTGCTGTTACTGCAGAAAATGATATTGATTTCACCATACCCGTGGAATTTGGCATTTCTCTTATTAAACAATTAATATTCTTTTCTATTGATACTATTCAGTAGAGCAACCTGATTTCGGCATGACCCTACTTTGGCCCAAGACCCAATGCCTAAGTAAAAAGTCTGGCCCACAGACTGCCACGTATTATCCCAAGCTAGTGCCTAGCCCGGCTTAGTGTATCGGTGATGTTTTCTACACTTTGTAAAACTCAGATCACTCATAAGCCAATATTCCGTCACTAATGATTTTTTGTTTATGTCAATTACATAGGCCTACTACCACCCTTAGTAAAAGACTACCTACACTGATTTCAACGAGTGAATAAACAGTAAACCATCAACCAGAAGCGTTATAAATAAAATGTTTGACTTACGTTGGATCGAGCCAACGAGGAAGCATCATCCGTCTGGACACTTCTTGACGAATCCTGAAAGTATGGTTGGTTAATAAGTTTAATGTAAGACTAAATTACTTACGTAATTCCCGTCAAAGCTCAATAAAATATGTCTATTTAGGACCTGAGTACTATAGACTACTATGATACTGTATAGGGGTGTGCGATGCAACAAATGCATCAAAATTCCGGATTTTATGTATGTATTATCAGTGGTGATCAAAAAACAATTTGAATCATGAGGGAGTCAGTAATCCATCTACATACTGAAAACGCCTGCAGAAAGTCAACGCAATACCCGCAATACAGGAGCGCGTTGATGTTGCGCTTCCTTTGCGAAGGCGTTTTTATTTAATTAATTCTTTGCTTGTAAATAATGCTTGTTATTGTTTTATTGTTTATACTTGTGATTATAATTACAAAATTGTTTTATAATTTTTTGTTTTGATATATTAAACGATGAGAAGTTTTGTTAAGTAATGTGAGACATGTTTTACTACTGTAATAGCCAAAACAAGTCACTCCAAAATCATTCTAAAAACAACACAGGTCTGAAAAATTGTAACTTGATACTTAACAAGTACAGTAATTGATGTTTTATACTGAATTTTTTTTTCTGCTATGTATTTCTTTTAGTTTGTAGGTCGGATTCTATCCTCTCATTTTATCAATTTGAATTAATTGAAAGTTTCAGTATAAATATTGCAAATGTTTTTATTTGTTTAGACCAAAACATATCTTTATTTGTTATATCAATATTATAAAGTATTAAAATAGGTAACATGCCTAACAATATGATTCTGCAAGTAAAAATTATGAAATGAAATGAAATATGAAATGAAATATTATTTATTTATACAGGCAAAAGTTAGGGCCACATGGCCCTTTCTTACACTTAACCTGTCATAAATATAACACATATATTTTAACAATTACATTAATATACAACAAAAACAAAATCTAAATCATGGATACAGAAACATTAACAAAAGAAAATTACTTACATTTTAAACTGTACAAAAATAATCTTCCTGTCTCCCTCTCTCTCTCACACACACACACCAAGCACATCTGTCAGTGACCAACCAGCGTACAAGCCCCTAGGACAAACCAACCATGGCCATACGTTCAAAATACATATTTTTTAGCGCTGCCACAAACCGGGAACGGTTATCAAGGGATTTGATGGCTAAGGGGAGGTCATTCCAAAGTCGGCCAGCGGTCACAACAAACGCCCCGTCGTAAACTGCAGTCCTATGATGAGGCATACGCAAAGTCAATGAAGCATAGCGTGAATATCTAACACTTTCTTCAGCTACAAACCTAAAATCATCTACAAAATATTTTGGAAAATTTGTTTTTATTATTGAATAGGATAGCAAAAGAATTTTAATTGATCTAAGGTCACATAGCTTTAATAGTTTAGAATTAATGTAGTAAGGCGTGATACGCTCACTGCGTCTCAGATCATAAATGAATCTCAAGCAGTAGTTCTGAGCGCGTTGGAGAGCATCAGCGAGGTTTACAGTCATGTCATTGATCACAGTGTTGCAGTAAGTGAAGTGGGGGAAGACAAGTGATTTGACAAGATGTATTTTTATGTGCATTGGCAAGAAGTTTTGTAATTTTTTAAGTGCGTGGATTGATGCAAACACCTTTTTACGGATGTCTACGACTGCATCGCCCCAAGTAAGTGTCGAGTTCATAGTAAGTCCTAGGTTTTTGACCTTGTCACAGTAAAGCAGAGCTGTTCCATTTATATTTATTGGATTTGTCGTGAGAAAGTCAATTGAGTTTCGTAACCGTGGATGACAAATTATGATAGGTTTAGTTTTTTCGTGATTAAGTCTGAGTCCGTGTTTATCAGTCCAAGTAATGATTTTCTCAATATCTTCATTCACTCTCAGAACACTTTCGTTGATCTGTTTGGGTGAAAAATGTGTATAAATCTGTAAGTCATCAGCATACATGTGGTATTTACAGTGTGTGAGGACTGAGCTCAAGTCGTTCATGTATAGTACGAACAACAGAGGACCAAGGATGGACCCCTGAGGTACACCACTAGTAACTGTCTCCCAGTCAGATCATAAGTCATCAACCTGAACACACTGCCGCCTGTCTGACAGATATGATCCCAGCCAGTCCAATACACCATTTGAAAACCCTATGGCCCTTAGCTTTTCTAAGAGGAGCTTGTGATTTACACAGTCAAAGGCTTTAGAGAAATCAAATAAGGTAAGAATCGTTCCCTGCCGATGTTCCATTGCTAGTCTAATGTCGTCCGTCACACGTAAAAGTGCTGTTTCTGTACTATGAGCTGCTCGAAAGCCAGACTGTGAGTTGCATAAGATATTGTTTTCAATCAGAAAATCAGTTATTTGGCAGTGAACGATTCTTTCAAGGCCTTTAGATAATGCGGGCAATATACTGATCGGCCTGAAATCCTGGCAAGAAGCCGGGGCTGGGATCTTATTCAAGGGTCGAATTAGGGCAGACTTCCAAGAAATAGGGAATGTGCTTTGCCTTAAGGATGTGTTGAAAATATATGTGATAGTTGGGAGAATAGCAAAGAGAATGTCTTTAATAAAGCGGATTGGAATGCCGTCTGATCCGACAGCATTACTCCGAATACGTCGAATAGATTTCAGAACATCAGACTGCAGTACAGGTCTGAACGTAAACTTAGGATAACCCAATTCTTGAGCAGGGGAGTTTCTTAACTCAGTTACGTGACTTTCAACTTGTTGTTGATTAATGCTTTGGCCAAAGGAAGAGAAGAATGCATTTAATTCATTGAGAGGAATATTGACTCTCTGTGCGTCAGGTTGTTTCCCAAGCCCAAGACTTTTTACGTTACGCCATAACACTCTAGATGGTTGGTTCTTATTTTCAAAAAGCATACGAATGTGTCTTAATTTTGAATTTCGCAAAAGTTGTTTGACTCTGTTACGTAAATACCGATACTCTTCCATTTCTACTTGATTCTGGGAACGCCTTGCTCTCCTGAAAAGACAGTCACGTCTTGCCATCAAGCTACGTATTTCAGGGGTTATCCATGGCACTGGTCGTTTTTTAGTCAAACGTTTTGAAACAATTGGAGCATGTTTATCAAATAAATTTAAAATTGTAGTTCATTTACCATTTCATCAAGACATGGTGAATTTTCAATTAGATGCCATGGTGTGTTCTGGATATCTGACATGAACTCAACTTCATTCATATTCTTAAAATCCCTATATTTTATAAATTTAGTCTTGGGTTTGGGTGCCTTAACTGAACACACACAAAATATGAGGTCATGCTTGGATACTGCTGGAACTGGAAGCTGCCCATGATGTACAATGTCTTCAGCATCTACTATTAAGTCTAAGAGAGTGTCAGACTCGGCAGTATGATGTGTAGGGTCCAGTGGGAGTATGTTTAAGTTACATGAGTCGAACAATGTAGTCAGTTGTCTGTGTTCATAGTTTTGATTGGTTGAAAGTAGGTCAGTGTTGAAGTCACCCATGATCAAGACATGACTAAATCTAAATAATAAATTTAAAAGAGCATTTTCAAATTCCAGTAGATTGCCTACTCTAGGTAGGCCTGGTTATGAAGCAGCTCACTGACATTTCCAAAAACAGTAACACATAAACAAAAATTTGCATTACACAAATGTGGTAAATTTTAACTAGCCTATTGTTACTTCACTCCATTGTATGAATAGAAAAATGCCGTATTGCTTCGAATCGAGTTGCATCAATTCGAATCGAAAACCTTTTGAATCAAATCGTTGCTTTGAATCGAAAATTGTTTGCTCCTTCGCACACCCCTAATACTGTATTTAATTTGTAGAAAAGGTGTTTTTCTACCTACAATATCAAATTCATTTTTATTTTTTTGAAAAAATAGGCTCCCTTTTCCTTTTGAGTAACCCTAACCCTACAGTCATTAGTCGGTCAAACAATTAATTTAGTTCGGTCAGACGTAATTAATGACAATGAATAACTAAACCTAAATTGTCATTATTCTGCTAGTATTTATGGAAAATCATTATTTTTATGGTATCTTTATTATGTCTCGTTCTTGTAACTCTTTTTGCCTCAAGTTTTCTCACTAAATATTTTAAATGTACCGTAAAGGTTACATTCTGAGTCTTGACTCAACACTCAACAGCAAAACTCAATCCTCTGTTCCTCAAATTGAATTTGTTTTATCGACATTCCTTTGCTTTTATTTACTCATGTTAATTGTTTAGCTATTTATTATTGTTTTCTGTTGTTATTTTGTTCTTGTTGCTCAGAATCTGGCCTACTTGTAATCTTGCTGTCTCCAGTTTTGTTTTCACTACCAAATATAAACACCGATTTATTTTATAGGGTATGTTTACTTATTGCTCCCATAACAACCCGGTTATGACAGTTTTTACAGCCACCGCCACCTGGATTTTACTCTAAACTCTCGTTAATAGAACCAGCGTTAGTTTTGACGCGTTTTTGTTGGTGAAACCAGATTTCCTTAACTGTGGTTTAAATCATCAGTTAGTTTTAACCTAAGTTTAACTAAACCATCATTAGCATGAATTTGGTGAAATCGGGCCTTAACCCTCCGAGTGTTATTTGTCGATGCGTCAACACATAACACACTTTGTGTAGTGTTTTGTGTCGATGCATCGACTCACAAACACTGTTTACGGCGAAGGCTCTATGACTGACAAAATCGGATTGAAGTGGATCGAGTTAGGTATCATTTTATTTTGCAGATTCAGAGCTTTCTCTGGAGGTCTGTCTCTAAGCGCTTTTCATTTTAGTTCCGAAAATATTGTAGCAGACAGCTGACGTGCGTATTTGTAAACAGCTTAGTTAACCTCGCACTGATGACTGATGTGTTTTATTACGTTTATCATTGTTTTTGTGTTAAAAATCAACAGTAGTGATATACGTGGTGCATTATAAGAAGAGTTAAGTGATTTTGAAGGGCTGGTTGATGATCCTGAAGAAGTAGGTAGTGAAATTGATGTAAATTATCAGCCAGATCCCTAGCTATGGTTA